TTCCAGCATAATTTTAATATGTGTAATTTTTAAGTAGTAATGATACTTCTAAGAAGTTAATACTCTAAATTTAGCATACTCAGAAGTATATTCCTAAAAACACTTGCAGCATTATTTACAGCAAAGGCAAATTGATACAACTGAAAGTTTGGCAAATAAGGAAGGAGCTAAAAAGTTATTTTTCTCGTAACCAAAGATTATCTGACTTTAAGAAAATGAAGATATATGGGTCAAATACAAGGCTAATTTGATCATTTTATTTACTAAGAAAGATGATTGATAAGTGGAAAGAATAATGAACAATGGAAAGGACTAATGAATATCAGAAGTTAAGTAAGAAACTAAATGCAGGGCTGGTGATTTAGCTCAGTGACACAAGCACTTGTCTGGCAAGTGTGAGATCATGAGTTTGATGCCAGGTACCCAAAACAAAACACTAAATGCAAAGAAACAGAAATAATAAACTTAAATACGTTTAGTTTTGTGAATAAAATATTAATAAAGGACTTTTGTCATGTACATTCTAAATATTTTTTTTCTCAGTATCTTCATTTTACTGCTGAGATAATGAAATGAAATAACAAAATCAGTTTGTATGTATTCGTATTTTTCTTACAAAGGTTACTGTGATTTCTACACGAAGTCCAATTTCTTTTTGAAAAATGAGGTTTACCAGGGTTTGTAAACATGAATGAAATGTTTGGGAATATATAACAGTACAAGGTCTGATCATAAGATAGGATAGTAATGAAGATTAAATATCCAAATATGTGGTTGCATCATTTCTGACATCTAAGAAGAGCTGAAAAAAAAGAGCTACTGGCAAAAGCCAATACTTATACTGCACTCAGGTCTTTAGAAAATTCCTGTGTTCTTCACAGTTCAGGGTAACTATTAACAGAGAGACTGGTTTTTATGTCTGTCTCCTCAGCATGGAGTCTTCTTTGAAAGTGTCATTCCATCTGGTCTTTGGCAGTGATACACACTGAAACTATCCTTCCTCTTCAAAAGATAAGCAGTAAGATTGTGAGCATTAACATTATAAAGTATAAGGAAACAGGCTTTTTCTGACAGTCATATGAAGTCTTAAGATTACTGCACTCTCATCTGCTCTCTGGGAAATTTTTTACATGTGCTGCTCTACTCTGTCTTGTTTTCTTTGCATAAAAACATTTATAAACAACCTGAAGCATGTTGAGAAGAGTATTTCTTGAAGGGCAGTAATATGCATATGACTTATTACAAAGTCAAAGGAAGCATTTTGCTGTATAGGCCTCATAAAATAAAGGGAAAGGGGGAAAAAGAGATATCCCTTTTCAAATTCTTCAAAAAATCATTTGCTGCAAAATGAACTAAAGGAATAAATATATTAGGACTTATAATTGAGAGAAGCATATTTAAGACTGATTTAAGCTTTTTAATGAGCTAATCTACCTATTGATAAAATTAATTGCCTGAAAAAAGGCAATCTTTAAATTAGTGACCACATGATTGGGACTCCAGTATTAGAAATGTTCTGGGACTCCACATACTTTAATACAGTCGGAAATTCCTTAATTCTTCCTAGTAATATTGTGAATGAAACTAATGTGGAAAATTGTGAAGCACACAAATGTAAAACACCTACATAGCATTTTATTTATGAGTATAGAAGAGGGGAAGTGAAATTATTTAATTTTGAAAAATTAACATTAACTTTATGGCTTTACTTTAAGTAGATTTTTAAAAGTGTTAGTCAAATTGTCCAAGATTTTGAAGAACTCTGCTATTTGCTAAAACTAGAATAGATTAAATAATACAGACAAACAAAAAGCAACATATTCTAGGAAAAACAAGTTAGGAAATAATATTCTTTTTACGTGTTTAGAGGAAAAGCCAAAGTGGTAATCTCTGGTTTTGGCTTTGTACTGAAGTTTCTAATGGAAATACTGCGGCAGTACTTTTTAAATAATGGTGTTATTTTCATGTATGACTTTAGCAGAGACAGCACATTGCGAGTGTCCTGAAATAGTAGATGAGCAGAAGTCTTTGTGTCTTACTGTTCACTCAACTCCTGCCTTCTTAATATTTGACAAGTAGGTATTATTAAAAAATGAAACACTTTCATTTTTTCTTGGATGCAAGTGACTCTGAACATTTAAATATACTGAAGTAAGATGGCAGACATTTCCCCCCTCATTTATTAAGTTCCAATCTGCATTTAGAACCTTGCTGAGCACATTAATATTAGATGGTTAAGCAAATGCAATGCTACTTTTTTAAGATAATAAAAACTGAATTATATCAGAAGTGAGGCTTGGGGTTTTTATTTTATTTTATTTTATTTTATTGTCTTTTTAGTTTTTATCGGTACCAGGGATTGAACTCACGACTGCCTGCTTGCAAGGCAGGAGCTTATGCCGCTGAGCTAAATCCCCAGCCCCTGCTTGGGGTTTTTATCCATGCCAGTATACTGTGATTTAAGAACAAATATCTTGCAAAAGGAAAGTCATCTAGTGACAACATGATAAACACTAGATGACATGTCCTGAGCAGACAGTCATAAGAGGCTTCTCAGGGCTGCAGAACAAGCCCATGTAACTCACTAGGTCAAGGATAAATAAGTAAGTGCAATAAGCTAGGCACAGGTGCCATCTCCAAAGAGTAAACAATCCAATCAAGGGGCCAAGGGAACAGAAGGGCAATGACTACAGGGGACTCACTGAATGCAGGAGAGGAAAAACACATCGTTTGTTGAGGAGCCCCAAAGATCAGAATCTAGCAAGGCTACAGAATGCACACAGATGGATGCATGAATGGAGTTGAACACTGAAGTAATGTAGTTAATGTAGAAATGGTACTACCTTTACCATTCTGCCACACACTGTGTCTTGAGAGGGTATTGACAAAAAAGGGGGGCTTTTGACACCTTTAAGACTAGACTAGAAGACTGTTATTTAAAACTGATAGAAAATCACAGCAAAATCCTCACCTCACAAGATTTGATCTTTCCATTGTAATAATCATATTCACTGCTTACCGCTAACACTCTGGTAGTTTAACTAGGTTTGTTGCCATAGTGTTTTTGTAACTCAAGTTGCTCCAAATGCCTTCTTTCCAGGCCAAGCCCAATATTATTTTTTCCCTCCTTGGGAACTGAATTTTAATATAGGACAAGAAGACACTTATAGCTGCCAAAATATTCATGTGAACTTCATTTTGAACACTATTGTACTAAATCCTCCTTCCTGAAGGCTATCTATAAATTTACATTTGGAATTTGATTAGAATAATGTTTGAATTGTTGCTACTAAAACAAATAATCTGTTTTCAAAATTTAGTAAGAAATACATGAATTTAATTTTGAGAAAAATCATGTAATACAATAATTACAACTTCCCATGCTCCAAATAGAAAAATGGACAGAGAACAACAACCAAGAAATTTCAAATGATCCAAGCAACATTTGCACTCCGTTCCTCTGCCCTCTGAAATCTATCATTGGCTGCCCCTCAGGAGATATCCAGTCCAGGGACAAATATATGTAAATGTGTTTTTCATCCAGCGTGTAGTGCTTACAATTAAAGACTTCCTACCAATGAAAAGTGCGTATCTCAGTAGAAAGACTTTCTAAGCTGCTTTTGCTGTGTGAAGAACTTCAAGCAAACCACTTACGTCATTTAAGTCTTATCTTGCTTCTGGGTCATAGAAAGGCTAGAAGGCGTAGCATAGAGGGACCATTCCTTTCTGTTTTATTTCAGATTATTATTGAATAATAGACAAAATGTTTGACTAAAACTTAACTTTGTAAATTTGAAATTACTTGTTTTTTATTTTTAAAAAAAGTGAAAAAAATTTAAAAGCAAGATAATATGAGAGTAACAATAATTAATACACTGTTACTATTATTTTCAGAGAAATTACTCAGGGTACAAGACTTGGGCATGAGATATTGTATAAACAATATTAGCATGAAGCTTTCTTTTCAATGCTCTAAGTGAAACAAGCTGCATAACTGTCTTAACTATCTTGTTTATAAATATTTTTTTTCCTTTTTTCTTCTTTCCATATTCCCCCATCACAGTTTCTCTTTTCTTTTGAACAATAACTTCCAAATTCACAACATCTGTTATATATTTTGGGTCTTATTTGTATGTTCATCTTCTTGTATTAGTGACACCATACAATGTTTATACACGTTGGTTTGATTTATTTCACTTGTGAGTATGGTCTCAAGTTACATCCATTTTCCTATAAAAGTTGCTACTTTATTCTTCTTTATAGCTGAGTAGTACTCCATTATATAAATGATCACCTCTTTTTTTATCCTTTTCTCAGTTGATGGGAAATTGTTTTATTTCTGAGATTTAACTAATACAAATTATGTTACTATAAATATGAGTGCACATATGTGGTATGATATTTTTAATTCCTTTGAGAAGATATCCAGATGGAAAATAGCTAGGTCTAAAGGGACCTCTAATCCTAATTGACTGATGAATCTCCACAATGACTCCCACAATGGTTGTATCAGTCTGTACTCCCACCAACAAAGGAGGTTTCTTTTTTGACCACAGAACCAGCAGCGTTTGTTATTGGCTGACTTATTGATGATAGCCACTCTTTCCAGGTGGAGACTGAATCTCAGTGTTGTTTTAATTTGTGTCTCTCAGATGACAAATGATGTTGAACATTTTTTCATATATTTATTTGTGACTTGTATTTCTTCACCTGAGAAGTGTGTATTCATCTCACATGTCCATTTTTGGATTAAAACTTTGAATTTGGGGAGCCGCTTTTTGTAATTCTTCATGTGCTCTAAATATAAGTCCTTTGTCTGAGAGACAACTGGCTACAAATTTTTTCCAATTCTGTGGGTTGTCTTTTCGTTATGCTGGTGATTCTTTGTTGTGCAAAACTTTTTAGTAGTGCCTATCTGGTAAGTGCAATGTCCTGAGTTCAATCCCTGGTACAAAAAAAAAGAAAAAAAAAAAAACAACGACAACAACAACAAAAAAAAACCCCGCTCCATTTTAGTAACGTTCCATTATATAAAAATACTACATCCTGTGGACAAATAAAAACTGGGGGCAAAGAAATGAGGATTTGGAGAGATCTGGGGCCAGCTTGCTCCCGCAGGCTCAAGATCAGCTGTCCTACATGAAAGAAAAAATACTGAAACCAGCTCTTTGACACCTTTACGTCTGAATCTCTCACTGCATTGCCTGCGGAACTTTGGTTCTGCTCTCCTCATCCCTGTCCCTTGGTCTCACTGTAATCTCACTCTGTCGCCACTACTTTTACCAGTCATATGTGTAGGGGGGAAAATACCATGTTTTTTTCACCCATTCTGCAGTTGACGGGCATTTAAGTTGTTTCCAAGATGTAGCTATTACATATTGTTCTGCAATAAACATGGGTGCACATATGTCATTGTGGAATGATAGACGGGCTACTTACAAATTGTGGTAGCTATTAGCGTCATGCCTTTAACCATAAGAGCAAGTTCTACAGTTACATAACAGAAGCCAACGTATATCAGTAATGTGTATGCAATGATCTTTTCCACTTAGTGGAGTGATTTTACCCTATCGCATGGTGGAAGAGGGATAAACAGAATATGGTATGGGACAGAGAGTTGAATTTAGGTAAAATTTAGTAGAAGCAAGACTGGAAAGTAAAGGGTGATCATCCTAGTTTTGGGTAATTGTACAGCACAAGAGAGAAGGGTTGGAAGATAAAGCCTAGGAGCACTGATGCAAAACTTAAGAAGAGAAAATTTTTACTCACGTGAAATTATTATAAAATCAAGCAAGGTTGTTGACAAAAGGGAGGAAGAGAATGTGTACAAGTAAACCAAAAGAAAGGTTAGCTATCTAAGTCAGGAAAGAAAGAGACCAAAAAGGAAAACTACACTAAAAACACAGGAAGCAACAATAACTACATTTATAGATCAAACAAACATGAAAAGAAAAGCAAAACAGGACAAAATAGAACAGGGAAAGCAAAACCAAAACTGAACAAAGAGATAAACAAAAATACGTCCAACTGAATAAAAAGGGGAAAACCAGTCAGACAGTGAAGGATTAAGTAGTAAAATTCTTTTAGTGTCTACAGTTCTGTATTAAATCTAAGAGACATCCCAAAATTGTGTACCCTAGCCAAGTCTGTGCTGGCTGTGAGTGTGGTCTTGACTCTGGATTTCAGAAATGGGGTTAGTTTTCTGTGGTCCTCCCCAGCCCTTTATGGGAAAAAGTGGGGGGCTGTCCCCCGTAATTCTATTCTGAGTGTCATTGTTCCCAAGTACTATGATGATTCACCTTACTTACCAGCTGTTGGCTGGCGTTATTACTGCTGCTTCAGACTTTCCCAGGCCGTGGGTTCCACCTTTCATCCTGTGTACCCAGCCAGGGTGCACTTGTGTCACTGGCAGTCTCGCCAGCCTACACAGACTCTCTGGATTAAAAGAGGAATTATCCATTATCTCTCTAGCCTGCTGGCATTCTCTGTATGAAGGGAGGCTTCCTTGAATTACTTTAAGGATGTCTTTGTTTAAAAGATATATATATATTTGTGTGTCCGTGTCTGTGTCTGTGTCTGTGTGTCTGTATGTATATCTTTGTGTCTTTTAAATCAATAGTTATCAGGCAATTTTGTCTCTTGAAAACATGGAACATTAAAACATTTTTTATCATCACAAATATTGGGGTGCTACTGAGTTCTGTTGATTAGCTGCCACAAATACTGCAACATATCTTAATATGCATAAGATGGTCTTCATACTGCAAATAATTTTGCACAAGTGGCAATGGTGGTGAGACTGAGAATCCTTTGAATATTATGATCCATACTGTCATTTTATTGCATCCTTCAGTGAAGAGAAATAAGAAAAAACTAGGTATGTTAAGTACATGTACATATTCTCTAAGTACATGCACCTATTCTCAATGTAAATGTAATGTACTCCAAAATATACTAATAAAAAGTTAAGGGTAAAGAATATAGAGATCCAGCAAAGACTTGTAATCTAAACTAAACAGGAAAGATTCTCCCATTACCTATTGAGGGAAGGGGCACTATTTTCTGTCTCACAGATTAGAGATTATACGTAGTTTTTGTTTATATGGTTGATAGTCCTCAATATGAGATTAAGTCATGATTGGAGTAGTCAGTCTATATAGTTATTTTATGCATTGATATTTTCTTTGGATTCTAATGTAATCAGTTTTATTTTACAGGTACTCCATGGGCTATGGGATAAGTATATTGTCTATTCTCATGATACAGCACTGGAAATGTATGAATGCAATCAATGTTGAGAATTGCCATTTAAATTTAAATGTGTGTGTGTATATATATATATATATATATATATATATACATACAATTCAAAAACTATAAAAAGGAATTCATTGGTTTTCGCCATTTATGTAGTAAATGAGTTTTTAAGCTTAAACAGGGTTGATTTGGCTGTTTGTATGTATGTGTGTAAATTTATAAATAAATACATTTATGTCTGTGCATATATAAAACCAAAGCACAACTAAAATTAAGGGAATAAAGTTTGCACTTCCATGATGTTGTTAGTTTCATTAGCTAGAGCCTCTCTCCTGTGTAAGCACACACATTTTTATTTTGTATTCACTAAATATTATGTCTTCTCTTTATTTCACTACAGAATAACAGGTTAATATATGGCAGTCCTTTTATATTAAACTCCCCACAGGGACTCATAAAGTGAACACAACGGGTATTTTACTTCCAATTACTTTACTGGCTTTATTTATTAGTTTATGCTCCTAAAACAAAAGAATTGTCCTGTTCAATGATAAAGGTGTCTACATGAGCATGTTGCTTAAATCCGTTTAACTATATGTGACACTGATAAGCTATGGCTGTAATGCTCGAATCCAAATTCATGTTGCTGTTTTATAAGGTTTTGTTTCTGGAGGCTTGAATTTGAGGGCCTGATTATAACAATCAAGTAGAGACATATGTCTTTAGACAATACTTTATGCATTGTAGAGCACTGTATTTTAAAATTGTTTGTTCATATTTTTCAATTTCTTTGGCCTCTTAAACAAGAAATATTCATAAATATTAAGGGACTCTGTAAACTAATACTATATGTGTGTGATAATAGTCATGTAATTTATCAGTCAGATAGTAATGAAAACATAATTGGCTAGAGCAAAACAAAATAAATTTTACAGTATTAAAATAACTTGATAAGTTTAGTTTTAAACCAATTAATTTATAATTGAAAATTTGAAAATTATTTTGCCCTTCCTCAGCAAGCTTCTAAAAGACTAGTTCATATTATGCTGTCAATTTCATCTTTTTCATTTAACATTTACTATTTACCACACTGAATCAGGTGCTGAGAATATCAGAGTAAATCAAATTGATTTCACATCTTCGGGAATCCTCGAGTGTGGGTAAAATACGAGTACAATGGTAACAATAAGCATACACAACACCCAGTGGAACAAAGAGAAGTACTAATAAACTCTCCCTATTAATTAAGAGGGCGTGTGACAAGTTCTAAAGTGGGGGGAGAACTTGACTTGGCATTTTATATGTCAGTACCTATCAGGAAGAGTATCAGGCATTTTGATGAAATCCATACTTTGAAGTTTCCCCAGTTTGGGACAAACAGTTTTGTGTGTTCTGTGGAAAGGAGCCACGGATAGCGGTCATGGTTGGTGCCACTGAGCTCCAGATTCTAGAGGCGCGTCTTCTGTCAGGGCCTGGTGAATTGCAGATTTACTTTACAATCCTGATCCATGTGAAATGCTGCTTAACTAGTCTTCAGAGGCTTCCTGGAGTTAAGAGTCTACGCATATTGAAAACAATTTAAATGTTCCCTTGAGGCGTTTAAGATTTTTTTTTTACTACTTTCTAGAGGAATAGTTTATTTATAAACATGATGTTTTTGCTCTTACCAAACTCACTATACACTGTAGCGAGACTGTATAAATTTTCTGCATTTTTAGAAAACATCATTTTTTTTTTTCTCCTCTTAAAGTGCTCAACAATGTGGGTGGAAATATAATACATTTACCAAGCAGTGATTTCCCATTTTACATACTTTTAAACCATTACAATATTTGGAAATGTGTCCCACTTATATTTAAGGTTTTAAAATTTTTCCCAAGTGATTGAGTTTACCATCGATTTCAAATATTCAAAGTAACTTTTATACTTTACTGTAAAAAACAGTAAACAAAATGATGTTTTTAGCAGAAAAAAAACTCTTTGGAGGTAATTTCAAAATTTAAAAAATTCTATTGTATGAAATATTTTGAGGTACTGTCTGATTAACAACAAAGAACACAGATTGAAGATTGAGTCTCACTCTCTGTTAAAGTGTTTTAACAGCTCTGGCTATCAAAGTTTTATTCATGTCACATTCTTGATCAACTGTATGACATTCACGATGGTGCTTATTTTTTAAATCTTCACTGGGCTCGTGGATATTGTTGAACAAAATACAATATCTTATAAAAGTTGTAACTAAAAAGATTAGGGACGAGATTGGAATTAGAGCCCTGGATAATAAGTAGTACTTGATCACTATGGCGTTTTGCTATTTTATTACTTCCTTGTTGCTATAATGGACTTACCTAGAAGTAGTAAATTCTGAAGAAGTGTCCTTTTGTTCTTCAGATGTAAACAGATGTTCCTCTTTGAGATGACTACCAAGGATGTCCTTGAAGGAAAGGATGAGTCAAAATAAAGATGAATGATGGCCAAAGATTATGCAGGAAAGAAAAAGAGTACCTGCCCTATTTAAAAAAACAGAGCTAAATCCTTGTTCACATAGCTTTCTCTCCCCCAAGTGAGCCCCTGTTCTTTACTTGAAAAGACATGTGTCCATGTTTCTGGACTCAGTTAGGGTTGTTTATTTTTTATTAGATATTTTTCACCCTGTTGTCTTTCTGTTCTATCCTGTCCTAATGGTCCTCGTGGAGAGTGTCATCCTCCCCTTGATACCTTGTTTACTCAAACTCTAGTGGCTTCTCTGCATGAAACAGGTGGTAGTTTTTAAATGGAGGCTGAACGATGGATACAGATTATCTTAATAGGCCAATGAAACCTTGTAATTTTTATTTCAGTATCTTCAGATCTTCAAATTTTAAGAACTTCTCTGCATGATTGTAT